GGCCACGCCCCCTGGCCCCTTCTGCCGGGGGAGAGGGAGGGTGAGGCGCAGAGACTGGGCGGGTTCCGATGACCAGTCCTTCGAGAGATTCCTAACTGAGCGTCTTTGGGTCGGGGGAAACTTGGCATTGCCCCCACCCACCCGGACTGTCAGCCCCGCCGCTCCCACACCCCGCACCCCCTCGCCACCCTCTCCCAGCCGGTATTCCCCTTTCCTCAGTGACTGTCCTGGCCCCCCAGCTCCGCCTCTTCTCCCTCCCTCCCCTCACCCCTTCCCCTCGGGGCAGTGTGCTCCCGGGAGGGTCCCTTTCTGCGCTCCGGCGAGTCCCGCCCCTTCCCTACCCCAGCTCCACCCCACCCCCTAATCTCCAGAGCTGCCTCCAAGTCCCGGGTGGGCTCCAGGAGTAGTATGGCCTGGGTCCTCTCTGTAAGAAAGACCTTTGAGGCTCCACGCCCAGCACCCCCTCTCCCTCCTCCTCCCCCACACCCCTCCCCCCGCCTTCTGGGCTGGACACAGCCACTTTGCTCCCTTACCTCCCAAAACGGCCGCACCCACTGAGACGCCCTGGCTGTGCGCTGGATCCAGTGCGTCCTCATAAGAGCGTGGACCCTGGGTGGCACCTCGAGTCCGCGTTCCGGTCTGCGGGCTGGCAGGAGAGGGGCTCCGAGGCGGCGGGAGGTTGGGAGACTTGCGCGGTTGAGATCCCAGTTCATCTCCCCCTTCCTGAGTCCGAGAGCATCTTCCTATCCTTCCCACCTCAAAAGCAAACTAGCGTTAGGTCTCGCTTCTTCCCCTGCGCGCTCCCCACCCAGGGAAGCACCCGATGCCCTGATGCCCTGAGACGGCTCAGAGCCAGGCGGCTGAGGCAGCTTTCAGCTCCTCACTTGCTAGTCAGGGTGCTGGACAGTTACTTCCCTCTCTGTGTCTGTTTCTCCCTCTGTAATATGGCGTAACAGTGCCACTGACGGGTGTCTGATCTCGTAAGAGCAATGGAAGTGCTTGCTATTGTTACTATTATCATCTGTAAAATGTGTTGTTTTATCTTCATTTCACAGTGTAGGTCTGCAAAGAGCAGAGAAAGGGTACAGGGTAGGCCTGGCTTCCTGGCTAGTCCCGCTGGTGGGTGAGCTTTGTGGCTCCAGGCTCTCTCCTGGCTGGTGGAGGGCTGGGGAGCGTTGGAAAGTTGGCTCTGCCCCTGAGATGGCTGTGGGATGAGATGATGGAGACCGAGCATCAGGTGAGAGGGGCAGCCTATTGTCTCATCTCTCCACTCACCCAGGCCCCAGGGAAGGAGACATTCTTCCAGGGAAGCAGCTGCCAGCACCTGCTCGCCTGCTCGGAGCTGTGGAGCTGCTCCCTGTCGGAGGGAGGGAGAGGCCTGGCTCTGCGTGATGGTGGACAAGCCACAGCTTCTCCCTGGGTTCCAGCCCGGTCTCTGTTAAGGAAGGGGTTAGAGGAGAACCCTCTCACCCGAGTCCTTGAGCAGAAAGGTGGGCTGTAGAAGGGCTCCGTTGGGGTGAGAGAATTGCTTTACACTAGAGGCCCAATGCACAAAATACGTGCAAGGGGCTGGGCCCTCGCAGCCCTGGCTTTGTCCAGAAGGTTGTCCGGAAGGACGTCTGGAAGGTTGTTTGGCTGTCCGGTCTAATTATCATGTTACACTTTTATTATTATATACTTTATTTGAGGGCCTTTAGTCGGTACACACACACTCTCTGGCTCATGGCAGGCTCCCTCTAACTGGGTTTGCACACGTATGTCACCTGTCTGGCTGTCCAGTCATTTAGTTTGAAACCTCAGGCCTCTTCTGGCTCTCCCATTATGAGGCTCTGAAAGAGGCAGCCTGCAGACCAGTTGTGACTTATGCATATACTGTTTGCCCTGTCTGATTAGAAGCGGGGGGATTAAAGCAGATATGTTCTGTCTAGTGGCTGAAGAACTTAGAATTTAGTGGAATCTTAGAGAAGAGAAACTTTCCCAGGTCTTCAAGGCACAGACCCTTCTCCCAGCCCTCTGGCCCATATAACTCAGGCTGTCCTTGAGCATGGAGCCATGCTATCTCCGGGCTCCTCCTAACTCTCCAGTCCTCCATTCCCTAGTGGCAGGAAGCAGACGCAGTTATGACACACTCTGGGCCAGGGGTGTTATGTGTGCTGTTTATTTAATCCTCACTCCGTCCTGGTGCCACCCCTCCTGCCTTACTGATGGGAAACTGGGCACAGAGAAGCTGCTCACTGGCCCACGGTCCCAGCAGTAGAGTCTGGATTTGAAGTCAGGCTGCGTGACTCACCTCGTGGTCCTCACACGGCCTCCCTATACCTGTACCTCCGTGTGCTTCTGCTCCTCCATCTGCAAGGTGGCAGCCTGGAAGGGTAGGGGAGAGGCCAGATGAAGATCGTGGGAGGAAGCAGGTCCTGCCTGGCTCCCTGACGCCCCAGGGACACTAAGCTCCTTTACCCTCCAACTTCAAGATCAGAAGACAACTTCCCACCCGCCTCCTTCAGCAGCCCCAAGAGCTAGGGTGCAGGAGTTGCAGGAGGGGATTGGGGGCGAAGACCCTCTGTTTCAGCAAAAGGATGGGGCCTGAGCCTTGGCAGGTCATGGGGAACGCCCCTTCCTGCGCTGGCCTCTGGGGATTTGTCCAGGGTGCTGGCCCCGACTCCACTTGGGAACCAGCCTCCCACAAGGGCCCTGCCGCTAGGTCTTCCGGTGCCTGTGGCTTCCTCTTGGTGAGTTCCTTCCTGGAGACCCCTTTTACTGAGCATAACTTACAGGCATAAGAGACCTTCCCTTCCCATCCTGTTGGGGAAAATGGAAGCATTTTTTCCTCTCCTTTCTCAGCCAGATTTAGGGACTGTTGCTGCAAAGAGCCTATCTGGTATGCAAAGTAAATCAAATGAATAAAGGAAGGACTTTATTTATTAGACACATAGAAGTGTTTACAATGTGCCAGGCACAGTTGTAAATATTTTACAAACATTAACTCATTTAATCATCTTACCAATCTTCATATTATCTTTTTGCAGGCGGGATAATTTAGCCGTGCCCAGATTGCTCACGAGTGGTGGAGACAGGATTCCAGTGCAGGCTGCCCGGCCCAGCATTCATGCTCAGCCACCCGCCGCCCTGCTCCAGGATGGCCGAGGAACACGCCATGACTTCCTGAGAGCGTCTATCTCGATGCCCGGCACTTTCCGAGGCTCAGTTTTGCCCTTGTAGGGGTAGGACCTTGGTGATTTCTGGGTGACTGCTTTTCACTTTATCCGCTGGACATAGTTGTGGCTTCAGTCTGCTGGGCAAAATCCTTTCCACGCTGGACGGTGCCTGTGGAGTGGGCTAGTGGAGGACTAGGGGTTCCTGGGATATGGGAGGGTGGGGAGGGGATGGAAGGATAACTTTCCTGCATCTATGCCAGGGCGAGGTCTGGTTTGTGTGTGTGGGGGGTGGGGGGTTGTGTGTGAGGGGGTGATACTTTGGAGGAAGGCATCAGCTGGTCCTGAGAAGGTCATGGGCCAAGCCGATTCCAGGGCCTTGTCAATTGTTGCTTCACTGAGACATCTGGTCCCTGAGACACAAAATGACTATGTTTCCGTCGAGAAGCAGGTTGATGGTGGCGGCAGCATGTGGGCGGGGCACCTGCTCCTGATTTATTATTTCTTTGTTTCCCTGGAAGCACTTAAGTGCAGGCTTAGTTCCAACAAAGCTCATGAGCCTCTCTGGATTCCAGTGCTGGGGGAGGGCGTGCAGCTGGCTGGCCTCCCCTGTTACCCACCCTGTGGGCTTCCTCGGCAGCACCTCTGGGCCGCAGCATCACTTAATTAATTTAGGCTTCCCCAGCCACAGATTCTCAGACTCAAAGGAACAGAGCCTCCCCGTCAGCCTTTCCCGGAAGCCTGTGAGTCTGGTGGCTGGAAGCCAGGACTATGTGCCTGCCCGCCCTTGGCCAGTCTGTCCTCAGGGCCTGGACCTGCCTCCTGAGTGTAGCTGAGCTCTGAAGGGAAGAGAAAGGACACAGCTCCTGCACTGCGGGTGGGCCACGGAGCTCCTCCCCTCTGTGGGTCTAGGAAGGGGCTGTCCCTCCCTGCTCTCCTCTGACTCCTGACATTTCTGTGAATTACTGTGGAGCAGCTGGGCCTCAAAATCTTGGTTTCTCACTCCC